CTCCAACATTTCTGATGTTTTGTGAGTAATGAATTCTCTTTTAAGGCACTTGTAAAGTCCTTTTGAGTATTCTTGATAAAACATTCTCACGAAGTCCTTTTAAGGTCTTCTGAGATTCTCGGTTCTAGTTTATTGCTAAGCTCGATGGTCAATAAGTTCATTTTTCTCCTACTTGTCGGTTTGGAAATGTGTTACTTTCTAGAAAGACACCACTCAGATCAATAAACATTATGTTCTAAATTAGGTTGTGGAGGTAATGCCCGTAGTCTCACTTGAAGGATTTCAAAGAGACATGTATACTATCTTTGGGTAAAAGTTCGTTGTGAAACAAACAGTTAGCTCCCACTTGAGCTATCTTAGCCTATAATGAGCCACTAAGCTACCACTGAGCCACCTAGCTTCAGTTAGCCGGTGAACTCCCATTGAGTCACTTAGCTCCCACTTAGCTAGTAAGCTCCCACTAAGACTAAGAGCCTTAGACATATACTTGAAAAGACGTTTAGAAGTCATTTCTATCCATAACTGAATATGGCGTCCTTTCTTAGCTTTGACATTTTGTTTAGTGTAACATTAGTCCTTCGTGTAAATCTTAAGAACTTTATAGGAAGCAATGTGATCCATCATTGTTCGAGTCATTTTTAAATTGAATCGAGGTCTCACACTATGTTCTTTGTAGAGTTATTTATGAAAATTTCAATTTCATAACTTTGTAATGGTCACGCTTGGCTCAAGCAAACATCGCTCGATCTAACCTAGACGTTTTGATATCTTGCCATGTCGATTTTGTACTTTACTGAACTCTTGAACTATTCAAGGTCAAGTTTTTTCACATTTGATTAATATAGCCATATTCTTTCAAATTCTTTGTGAAACGTTGAAGTAAATGTATCTTCTTTAGCTTTCGGAGTCAATTGTCTATACCAAGGACAATAACTCTTTACTTTGTCGGTTTCAACAAGTAAGACTTTCTTGTCTTAGAACGATTTTGAATCGAGCAACTATCAAGAGCCTATCTAATAGAGCCTTCAGTACGTTCTTGTCGATGTGACACTGCTAAAGATGTTTGGAATGCAAATCATGCCTATGATTTGAACTTAGTAAGTTTATCATGTTTAGGGAAATGTTTGTTTATAATCAAGCATTTCTTGACTCAATGCTTAGATAACCATGCCATTCAAATAAATTCGGAACTATTGCTTTTACTTTGAATGTGAGTCTTTCCGTGTGTAAACGGATCAATTGCTGATTATGAAACATAGTAATAACCATTACTTATTCCAACGTTTTGCTTAAAAAGTCTTTAAACAAAGCATACGACCTTAAAACTAATGCAGCACCACTTGCTTCATTATAAGTTTGTAAGTCGATACCTTATCTTATCTTCAATAGTTTGAGGTTACTTTCAAAGTGGAATAATAAAGCAGTATCCGATACTTTGTGAAGATAATGAGTTGCTAAGTTAACTTCAATAACATGAATTCTTTAGTAAAATGAAATCTCATTCCTTTTCTTTGTTCCTCGTTTCCTATATTTCTTATCATAATTTATCTCATAATCTTTAAGAACTATTTCTTTAAGAGTCTTCGACTTCATTAATTTGTTAGGCATAATTAAGCATCTAATGCGCCGTAAAACAAAGTTTCATCTTTTCCTTTAATTCATGCTTGAATTACTACATAAATGGGTCATACTCATCTGTGTATTAAGCGAAAAAATATGTTGGTTGTCAATATATACAATTCCTGTTTTACCAAAACTACCTAGTATTTTTAATACATGATGTCCAACCGTCCTTTCAGACTTTATTGTAAAAGTCATTTATGATAATTATATTTTCAAAATGCTTTTCCTATCATTGAGAACTATCCTCAAAGATTTCCTTTACCAATCATGAAAACAATATTATTTGATTTAGAATACTATAAATATAAGTACAAAGTATAACAATTTATCAAGAATATAATAAGTTTGAAATTTAAGAGCATTCATGCAAACTTCAATCTTATTAAACGTCTTAACCACGCATTAAATGTGTCCCTCATTTGGCGAGAATAAGTCGATTCCAAGATCTAAAGAAACAAAGAGTGGTTAAGCATGCTTTGGCTTGTCTTAACATTCAATCTTCTAAGGTAAGCAACTCTTTGCTAATGGCTCCAAGCCACTCTTGGTTAGTTAATTGTCGCATCTAATGCTCTCATGACGATTTATCTCTTTTGCCTCGACATGTATGGACTCCATCACTCATATCGTCAAGTACAACCAAAACCAATATGCACACCCGGTGTACCTTACGATCCATGGAGTAGTGATGGTACCTCGCTTTGGCGTAGCCCACCATCACACTCATTCGATGTGCAAGTGTTGTTTTTGAAAGGCAAGTTTTACTCAATATTATTAGGGACCTAGGTTTCTATGTTGGTTTATTTAAGTGAACTTAACTAATCATCACAACATTTTGTAAACCTACACATGCATTTAACATATCATTCATATATAAGCACAAGCATAAATATATAAAACACAAATACAAGATGCATATTGACAACTAAAATGACCCCTTGAAATATTTAAGTCTTCAAAAGGTCTTCTCTTGCAAATTTATGGCTTTGTCTTCCAAGAATCTTCATCTTCAAGACTTAACAAAATTATGCAACTACTAATAGCTACGATTAGGACTAATCTAAATATTAAGGTACAAAAATACTCAACGGTGCGTAGACCGTATTTAGATTTACAAAAATACATCACGGCACGCAGTCCGTATTTTTTATCCTAATCGGGTCCAACTAGTTGCCATTTCATAAAACCTATGAGAGAATATACATTCCATTCATCCATTCACTATTTGTGAATGACCCATGCATTTTATAACAAACAAGTAATAATGCATTAAACACGCGCGCGCACTAGTAACTAATCTAGGTGGTTAACCCGATTAACACACCTAATTAAAACTAGTTAAAGTTGTTTAACTGGTTATGTAATTGACGTAATTAATAATTGAAGCTCCCACTAAATTCCGCATCAAACTTAATTAATCCAATTAATTAAGCCGGTAGAACCCAAAATTTGTCAAAATAAATTTTGCCAATGCCGCTCCAAACCGAGGACTAGCCTCAAAAATTTTAATTAATATAAACGAGATTAATTAAAAGAAATAAAACGGAAAAATAAACAAAATTGCATTGCCTTATAACCCGGGGTAAATTGCCAAGTGTGGGGTTGTGCGCATCGTGCCGCAAGCACGTAGCACATCCACACACACTCTCTTGCCGCAACACCAAGCACACACACACATTCCTCGAGCACCTTACCACACCACAGAACGCACACACACAGCAAGCTGTGCACGCACACACGCATACACGCACGCACGACCGCGTGCTGCGATTGCTGGGTGCTCAAGCCACGCCCATGGTTGCGCACATGAGCACCCCTCTTTGGAGCCACATGCGGGCTGCTATGCAACCCGGCTAGCCAAAGGGGGTTTTTTCTCGTTTTGCGTGCCATAGCCTCTGATTTTGATCCTAATTTTACGTGACATATTATTAATTCTAATTAGATTTTAGAACTAATTCAATGAGAAAAAAAATTTGAAAATTTAAACAAGTCTAACTTAAAAAAAATTTAATAAGGTGCATTCAACCAAAATAATTTCCAACAACCATTCTTTAATTAAATTGGTTTAACTTGGTGCAACAAAATAAATAAGGCAATTTCTCATTATTAATTTAATCAATTAAAATTAATCTTGAGATTTTGACAAAGTAAGAGGGAGTTGGAAAAGTATGAACTTTAATATTCAAAAGAAAAAATCCAACTACTAACATTGTGATCCTTGAAAAATTATATCTTCCAATATGAAGATAAACAAATTTCTATCACAAAGTTTGAAACTTTATGTTTCCAATCAACCAAAAATGATTAAAACAACAAAGTTCAACATAAAGTTTCAATCACTTCACACAATTAAAGATTGAATCTTTAGCACTTTAGAAGCCTCAAAACCAAAAATTTCACACTTAATGCAATTAATTTGCAATTATGTGAAAAATAAAACCAAGCTTTCTAACACAAATTACCACCAAGTAATCATGTCTAAAGAGGTTTAAAATTACATAAAAAATATGTATTGAACAAATTACATAACCACCATCAATATGAATTTGTTTCTCAAGGTTTGAAAGACTTAAAATTTTTCGTAAAAACGAAAAACCCCTCGAAAAGCATTTCTGGTCGTTTTTTGGCTAAAAACCGAGTCTTTAAAGGTTAAACCATTTCCAGGACACCTTTTCCACAATATATTTACTATTTTTGGGTCAAAATCTATGTTCAGGAGTTGAATTCAGCTCTAATACGAGGTTAAAATGAATAATACGAGCTACTAATCTAATTAGCAACTTAAACCAGAAAAATTAAGCCATAAAAAATACATTGAAAAAAATATGATGATTAAAAATAAATGAGCGGGGCTCTGATACCGCTGTTGGGGTTTGGTGAGTCCCACTCACCGCGGAAAAAAAAAAACCCGAGCAAAGGATCACACTCGCAATAAATAATATCACTAATGCATAAATAAACACAAAAGTGCAAAATAGGAAATTTACCTTTGTCGTGTGCTTCGTCCCACAAATTGAGCTCTTACTTGAGAAGCTTAACCCCGAAAATACGAGAGCCTCCGACAGATATCCACCCGCAAAAACAACTACCAACTTTTAGGTCTGTTACCTCGAGGTTAGCGAGGTCCGACCAAAACCCGAGTATTATGTGAGTTTAAGAGTTTTTGCTAATGCAATGATCTATTGAACTCCTAGTCAAGCACTCTTCCCAAAAACCCAAGATGGGTATTTATAGGTAAGAGGGAGAGTGGGATTTAGCATTATTTTCCATTTTGAAGAGACATGTTTAGTTTAATTTTCGAGAGACCTTCATATGTCTCGACATTACAGCCCTCTATCAAGAGCTTGGCTGTGTATAACGTAATTAATTTTCCAAATAAATTTTGTAATAAAAGTATCTTTTAGACATGTAGTAGTCACTATTCAGAAAATTGTTTTGACTAAGAAAGTATAGCTTTACAAGGATTGAATTTTTGCTTAATATTTTAAATTCTTAGCAAGTACCTTACAAAGTACTCCGTACTAGTTATTTCTGAAGTGTGGTAAGCAGTATTCAGCTAATTTATCCAATACCCTAGCAATAGATAGCATACAATTAACACAACATAGAGTGATAGAATTATATGCATCTCGTCATGCAGATAGATATGAGCTTTTCCCTCTAGCATACCTGTATGGGTTACTGCATTTGCTTAGGCTGTAGAACCAAAATTGAATGTCTGAACCTGCTATGCTATTAATCCATGCTGCTGCAGATAATTAGGTTAGCCATAGTAACCTTATGATCTAACCCATGGAGATCAAGCACTCTTTAACTATGAGTAGCTTGTGCTTTCCTCCTGTTTGTTTCAACATGTTCTAGCAAACGGTCATTTACATTGACTGGTGAACATTTGAGCAAGGAATCTGACAAAAAAAAATAATTTATCAGATCGGGATAATAAGATAAATGAGATAATAGGGGAGAGAGTGAGGGAGGGGGGACTTAAATCTTAAGGGCCATACAACAAAATTATTTCCACAAAAAAATGCAATGATAATGGGTTTCAACTCACAAACTCATGGTTTGAGATAATATTACCAAATGACCTCCCACTGAACTTCCAGCCCGTACTCTATAGGCTTGTGTGAATAGCCAAAACAGTCTTATAACACATATTTTTTTAAATTGTTGGTTGATGTTTACATGTCATACTATGATTACATTTCCAAGGTGAGTGATTTTGTTATATAGCTCCAGATTTTCTAATGTACTTTTTAAATTAACTCTTTCAAGGTTTAACTTCTGACTACCATTAAACAAGAAGAATTTTATTCAACTTCATCAGAACAGCAGAGCAGAATCAGACAAGATTTTTCAAACTAAGCAAAAGAATTATCAGTAGAACTTAATGTTTGTCAGGAACATCTAAAGGCCCCATAACACATCCAGGGGTCCCTTGTATCTACCATTCTTAAAATCAGTGTATAGTAGAAGGAGCAAACATGAAGGTCCATGCCACAACAAAGTTGCTGAGCCCTTTAGACACCTAAATTGAAATCGGAATTTTCAATCAGAGTAGGAAATAAAGATATTAAATGCATTGTTCTTGAACTTCAGTCACACTACTTACGAGGTGAAGAACTGGGGCTTCTATAGCATGAATACCAACTACTCTGTCAGAAGCATACACAATACAAATGATTAGTACTTGAACTCTGGTACCTCACAAGGTTAACAAAAGACAAAGAAGAGTATAATTACCTGTCTATGCAAGAGGATAAAGGTGGGAATTTATTAAAAAAATGCAGAAACTTTATATCATAATTTATGCTTTAATCATAGGGAAAGAAATTTTATGCTTCTATCATAGACATCAGAATTGCTTGTTTTTTGGAATGTTAGTGAGAGCTCTATTTTGTTGATGTATACAGCCACAGCCCTTAGAAAGTAATTGGCCAATAAAACTCATCCTTTGTAAGTAATAATGTGTAAGATGATAATTACATCTTCCGTTTAATAATGACTAGCTCTACTTGGCTACTTGCATCCATGTACTTCAAATTCACCGTAGTTCACTCTCATATAACTATCCGCTTCCCACGTGTCAATCCCATGAGTATTTTTAGGATAAATACCACAATTGAACAAAATTACAACAAATTAAATGTTCCATGATGAAATCAATTCGAAATACAAACCCTAGAATTATAATCTAATTACCCACAATTCATAAATTATCAAGTATAGAGAAAGAAAGAGGACATACGATTGGAAAATCAAGAGGAGAACGAGGAGTCATCTTCTCTTCATCAGGAGCACAAAACTCATCAAAGACGACGACTGCTTGCAGAACGATGACGAAGAAGTTGATACGTTTGAAGATGAAGGAGTAGGTAGAAACAAAGCCATGGGAGTAATAGTAGAAGCTGAAAAACTCAGCGACGCCATTGTTGTAGTACCGGAGGTACCTACTCCAGTCCTTATAATTCATCAAATCAAATCAGATCTTCAAGATCCAACAAAATTTATTAAAACTTGAAAACAACTTCACAAAATCCCAATTTCATTTGATAATTAAAAAAAAAAATTAAATATATCATACCTCAGAGAAGAATAAAAGAAATTTTTCTCGTCGTTGTTACGAATCATTAACATAATCGAGTAAATCTAAACAAAACCACCTAGAATTCCTTAGTAAACCGGAGGGAGGAGACTTGAGGGAGGAGACTTGAGTGAGGAGAGAGAAAGCAAGATAGAGAGAGAACTGAAATGAGAGAGAAAGTGAATGTCTGGCGGCTAAGTATTGAAACCTTAAAACTCGTAACAGGCTATGTATTGTATCGGGCAATATTTTGCGGGATACAATTATACGATTATCCCTAACAGGCTTTATTTACCCTTTACAATTAAATGTACAAGCTAAGAGAATTCGTGTGTGTAAATATAAGAGGCTCGGTTTTTTTTTTTTTTTTTTTTTCATTCAGATGGTAGTTTTTTTTTAAGGTGGTAGTTTTTTTTGTTTAGATGGTGTTTTTTTTTTTTTTAAGAATTGTAGCTTTTAAAAAAAAAAATAAAAAGACAAAATTGAGAGGGGTGTTTTGGGAAAGTGAAATTTATCACCCAAAACCCCCTCTCACTTTATATATAGGATATTCGTAACGGGCATTATTTTGCCCGTTATAAATAGTTGTTATTTGTATCGATCAGGTATATTGCCCGTTTCGAAAAATCTTTTCGTAACGGATTTTGTTATGTCCTTTACAAATGAGGTGTTACAAATAAAGTTTTTTCCACTTGTGCTACATATCCTCACCCACTTGTTTCCCAGCTGCTTCCCAATTTCTTCCCATTTGCTTCAGCCCTACTACCCGTGCCTTAGGCCCAGCCGTAGCCTAGTCGAAGCCCAGCCCACGCACTTGGAGTTGCGGGCTGCTGCTATGGCTAGCAATCCACGCACTCTAAGTGCGGGCTGTTGTTAGCATGCCGCACACATCATGTGCGGGCTGCTAGCAGCAACAGCCTTGGTGTGCTTGCGGCTGCTAGCTGCTGCTATGCATGGTGCGCTAGCACGCACCAGCCAGCCACCCTTCGCTCGGCATGGTGCGCATGCTAGCCACTTGTGCTAGCATATTATGCCCCTAGCATTCGAATGCTCGGGGCATTCCGATACTAGGGGTATTTTTGGAATATTGTCAATTTATTATTATTTTGCGCGTCTCATCATTTACTACTTTTTACTCGACTTTCGACGCTCGGTTTTGACGCTCTAAGCTGGAATTTCCGATGTCTAAATATTTAATACTCAGGCGACTCATTAATTTCTTCCGAATTAATTCATCGAGTTGGATTGTTAATTGCTTGGGTGTGAAATGAAGGGTTCAGTCAAGATTATGCTTTAATATCAAATTTACATTAATATTAGTGATCGGAAGCGGCCTCCACCTAGGCATTCCGATCATTTGACCTTACTTAATATATTAGCTTTCTAATAATTCTGAACCCACTATCAGAATAATACACTTGTTCGAAGGATACCATTCCTTTCAAATACTTGTATAAGTGATTTATGACGATCATGTCCTTGTTGCACAAGAAACGGTGCTATAAATCAAACTACACACTAATCTTAAATGGTCATTAATCGTCCATCGTTTAAATGACCTCGATTAGGGATAATTTTTTATTATAATATTAAACGTTCACTTAATATGTGTTTCCTTATCAAGATTGGTCTTGATACCCTAAACCATAATTAAATAGCAAACGGAGTGATAAAATTGCATGAAATTTTAAATTAATCCAAAACCTGAGTGGTTCATCTTATGTAAATGGTTTAACCGAACGTTTTTAGAGTAACACTCTTTATAAAACATCTATAGAAATCACACCCATATCTAATATGCTTGATTTCTTTCATGCAATTATGAATGTTGTCGTTCACTTATTGCATAGGTTTAGTTATAATTACTTTTCTAATTTTAGCATCTTCATTACTGATCACTTTCATAATAAAGATGATAAAATTTGAGAAAGCCATGGATTATACGTCATTTAGAATTTATTATCCATTGATGGCTCCCACTCATTTTCATGATTGAGATCTTCAACTTGACAACCTACAATCATTAACATTTAACAACGAACTTTCTGTAGAACATCTTTTTTACTATTGCCTTTAAGGGCAACAATATTCTCAACATATATTTTAGTAGACTTCCTAATGATTCTTTGCTTGGGTTTCACGTCAAATGACTCACAATGACTTGGGATACCCTAATCACTTGTGATCATGGAAATTTACTTTAAATTCCCGCACATTACACATGGATGCACATCCATGTTACCATTCTCAAGCCATGACTCATTATTAGCTCATGCTTACAAACGGATTCCTTGTTAAGGATCTAATCCTTGTTAAGGTTTGTGCTTGCAACATCAATTCTCAAATTGTATTTGTTTCCACAAGTCAAGAACACATCTTGTTACTTATCCAAGTACTTTTGATGTTCTTAACCATAATCTAACAATCTATTACATAGATTCAGGTTGATTGGTACTACATACATACTTCACATGCTCTAAGGAAGTAAGTCGTGTGACGATTCCATATCATAGCGTAAATGATGGATTAAGTTGCAAAGTAATTCTGAATCTTATTCCATCCATGTGACATTTTAGCTCATTCAGTTTCACTGAGTCTTGATAAGTTGTTTTCTATGTGATATGGTTGAAAGTCTCTACTAGAGTCTTTCTTGTTTGATTTAGCATTTACCCTAGCTTATACTTAGTTCAAACATTTACTTAGTTTTATACATACGGGTAGAAAGTCTGTAAAATTCCTTCAATTCATGTTTAACACAGTAAATTCCTTTACACGTTCAAACAATTTTTTTTTTCATGTCTATACAATAAATCTTAATACCCAATATGTACTAAGTATCGTATTTTGTTTGGTCAACTATCGAAAATACTTTCAAAACTAAGCATTTAGTATTTGACAGTTATTTCATAATAGAGTTCGTAAACTTTTCGTTAGACCTTTTTTAGACATCAACTTTTGGCCTCATGTCCCGAAAGGACCTGCAATCAGGATAAATAAAACCATCTTCGTGTTAGATTGAAGTGGAGAATGCGTATGGATAACTGGTTAATCCCAAAAACACACAAAATAGCCTAAAATAAAGAACAAAGCTAAATATGGCCCAATTAACTAAATCCAATAATAATTAGGTTGAAGCCCGTGCTTAAAACCCAAGAATGATGGAATTAGGAACGCCTAGGTTAAATTTTAATGCTGCCGCAGAAAAAGCCGCGCGCATCTTAATCTTTCGCGCAACGCAGGCGCGAGCAACTAATTCAGATGCGCGCGACACTCATCGCAACCTCTAGCGATACGCTTGCGAAAGATTCAGAATTTTACGAAAATATAAAATCAAATCTTACCATAAGGCCGCGCGCAAGACATCTAGTTGCGCTGCCCATAGCAGCCCAACTAAATTAATTGCGCTAGGATGTCGCGCGCAACTCATCCAGTTGCGCGCGACACCTGCTGCAGCAAAATGCTCAAAACCCTAATCCTAGCCATTCCCTATAAATAGAGGCTTAATCTGGGGCTTAAACATAGAGAAAATAACCTAAAATTGTGGCAAAATACTTTTGAACTTGTGCTACCTAACCCCTCTTATCCTAAACACTCACCTCTTGATATTTTGTTATTATGGTGGAGATTATAGAACTAGAAGGAGTCCATAAGTGTTCTAAACGGAGATCTAGCAAAGAGAAGTGGTAAATTCACGAGGACTTAGATAAATAATATTTATTTTCTTGTTTAATTAATTAGTGTTGCTTGATCACCTTAAAAGGACTAATTAATTAATTCCACACAGTATCTTGCGTTAAATAAAGATTAGAATTGGATAATTAATTGTTGGTTGATCGCTAAAGCCAAGGTGAATATTGTTTATTTTCTTGTTCTTTTCACGTAATTGATTAAATAAAGAATAACTACGTTTCAATGTAATTCCTATGTGAATTAACGTGTGTAATAAAATCAACTAACTTAATTTTAGGTATCGCATTGCATATATTGTTTGGTGATGAAATTGTAAAAAAAGAAGAGCTAGTAGAGGCTGCACAAGGGCTAGAATAGCAATTCTCCTTTAAAGGGAACGTTATTTTAGTACCCTCGCTACCGAACTCATTTTTGGTTTATGTAGACCAATTTGGGCATGTATAAACTTACGATTTGTGCTAATTAATACATGAACTCCACATGGAAGAAAGGCATGAACGATGTTTATGAGTTTTCCTAAAACTCATTGGCGACTCCCTACTTGTTTCTTATAAAAAAGAGTGATGATAGAATCAATTCTAATTCAAGGATCCCCAAACATTCAGGAATTCAAATCCTAATACACCCTAGCAAGTGTAAAGTCCTAGGCTTCTAAAGGGTCATGGGCATCTAAGGAAAAGATCCCCTATGATATGAACAACCTCCTTACACCTTTATATAATTTACTTTTGCTCCCACTAAACTTTTTATTCATAAGAATTTCTATGTTTCTCCATAAGTCAATTCTCTTATTAAATTCATGAGAAAACATGTTCTAATTCCTATATGCAATGCTTCCTTAAATCCCATAATGGATTCCTTGAGCTTGCTTTCAAATCTAGCATTATTTAGATTTTCAAAACCCTTAGACTATTTTCATAGTCACATCCAAAATCCTATTTTAGGAAAGCGGTTTTGGTATCTATTTAGTCATATTTCATATGTGCAATTTTTCAAGAAGAATCACGAAAAGACTTTAGCATTCCGATTGGTGAATAGGTTTTTATTAAAATTAACTCGGTGAATTTAATTGTATCATTTTAAACAATTCTAGCTATGTATACATATACATTTTTTCATTTATTAGTTTTCTCCTTGAAAACTTATTTGCAATCGATGGGTCTTTCACCCTTTATGCTAATTAATCAAGTTTTAAAACATGATTTTCAAACATGGAGTCTATTTCGGATTTTTATGGCTTCTAACCATTATTCGGAATTTGGATTTGTCGTAGTTTTGCAAGACATTATTCCCTTACTATATCATAGTAATAGTATGCTTGCAAGTCTTAGGTTTTTTTCTAACTTAATAGAAATTTTATAGGATTCAATCCAAGCCTTTGATGAATTCTATACCTATACGGGGTTATTACATCAAACACTTAGTTTCAATGCACTTCCTAAACCTTTTATTTTCTTGATCTTACTCCAACTTTTCAAAAGTTTCGTGAGAAATAAATTCTCTTTTAAGGAATTTGTAAAGTCCTTTTGAGTATTCTTGATCAAGTATTCTCATGAAGCCTTTTTAAGGTTTTTCATAGATTCTCAGTTATAGTTTGTTGCTAAGCTCGATTGTCATCAAGTTCATTTTCCTCCCACTTGTAATTTTTGAAATGTGTTACGTTCCAGAAAGAC